TTTTTTTTTTTTTTAATAAATAGCTATTTTTAATCTTAAGCTGAATTTTATACTATTCGTAAATACATACTTATCGTATTAATTAATATCATAAAAGTAAAAGTAGATGTTTAAATGTTTTCGGATGTTTGTTACTCAATCACGATAGAATGGCTGAACCGATATGGATGAAATTTCGCATAGATAGAATATAGTCTGGAGAAAAAACATATGCTACTTTTTCTCCCGGAATTATTATTATGAATGGGCAAGTCTTATCTGTAGGTGTTTGTTACTCAGTCGCGTCAGAACGGCTGAACGGATATGGATGAAACTAGGCATAGAGATGGAGTATAGTCTAGAATAACACATAGGCTACTTTTTATCCCTGAAATAATATTATTAATATGAAAGTTTGAATGTTTAGATGTTATTTTGATGTTTTTTTTTACTCAATCACAAGAATGGCTGAACGGATATGGATAAGATTTCGCATAATTGTAGAAAATAGTCTGAAACAACACATAGGCTACTTTTATCATGGAAATAATATTTTAAATGTGTAAGTCTGGATGCTTAAGTGTTTGTTACTCAATTGCGTCAGAACGGCTAAACGGATGTGGATGAAAGAAGTATGACTTCGCCTCCAGGTCCTTCAAAAGAGTTATTGCCAAGGCAAAGTCAGAGCACATAGGCAGAATTGGCGAGAAACTAGTTCGCCATCCTTCGGGAACCCGTGCATTCTGGTCTCTCGCCAAGGCTGTCCAAGGGAACTTCTGTAAGCCGTCACTACCATCTCTGCACATGGAGGACGACTCACTGGTCCACGACGCAAAAGAGAAAGCCGACCTTTTAGGTTCCCTTTTTGCGTCCAACTCGACTGTTAATGACGGGGGGAACACACCGCCGACCATCCCGCGGTGTGAGTGTTCCATGCCGGATGTGCGGTTCTCACAGCGATCGGTTCGCAGAGCACTCCTCTCCCTTGACATCCACAAGTCGAGTGGGCCTGACGGAATCCCCCCCAATTGTGCTGAGGACGTGTGCTCCGGAGTTGACACCGGTTCTAACACGTCTTTTCCGGTAATCCTACTCCCTAGGCGTAGTCCCGACATCATGGAAGACAGCTTTTGTCCACCCGATCCCTAAAAAAGGCGACCGCTCAGACCCGTCCAACTACAGGCCTATCGCCATCACCCCCTTGTTCTCCAAAATAATGGAATCCGTTATAAACTGCCACCTCATGCGGTACCTTGAGGATCACCAGCTGATTAGTGACCGCCAGTAGGGTTTTCGTCGGGGTCGATCAGCTGGTGATCTTCTGGTCTACTTAATTCATAGATGGGCGGAGGCAGTAGACTCCAAGGGGGAGGCATTGGCCGTTAGTTTGGACATTGCGAAGGCCTTCGATCGGGTTTGGCACAAGGCGCTTCTTTCGAAGCTCCCTTCCTATGGGCTTCCCGAGAAATTATGCAATTGGATCACCAGCTTTCTTTCAGATCGGAGCATCAAGGTCGTTGTAGACGGTGCATGCTCCGACTACAAGCCTATTAACGCTGGTGTTCCACAAGGCTGCGTGCTATCACCAACGCTGTTTCTTCTGCATATCAATGATATGTTGCAAGCCGGTAGCATTCATTGCTATGCGGATGACAGCACTGGTGATGCTCTATACACCGGCCGTGCCAATATTTCTCGGGAAAACGTCACGGAGTACCGGAACAAACTTGTGTCTGAAGTCGAGTATTTGCTGAACAAAGTCTCGGATTGGGGGCGACTAAATCTAGTCCAGTTTAATCCTCAGAAGACACAAGTTTGCGCGTTTACCGGTAAAAAGAACCCCTTTGTCGTATCTCCTCAGTTTCAAGGCACTCCCCTTCTTGCCTCAGCCAGTATCGGTATCCTCGGAGTCGACATATCGAGTGACGTGCGGTTTCATGGTCACTTGGAAGAGAAGGCCAAATTGGCCTCTAAAAAGCTTGGCGTGCTCAGCAGAGCGGGACAGTATTTCATGCCGGCACACCGCCTGCAACTTTACAAGGCGCAGGTTCGGCCTCACATGGAATACTGTTCCCATCTCTGGGCAGGGGCTCCCCAGTGCCAGCTCCTTCCACTTGACCGCATCCAACGCAGAGCGGCTCGAATCATCGACGATCGAGCCCTTTCCGATCGGCTCGATTCATTGGCACTGCGAAGAGATGTTGCATCCCTTTGCATTTTCTTTCGCATCTACCATGGGGAGTGCTCTGAGGAATTCTTCGGATTAATCCCAGCCGCCAAATTTCACGAACGCACATCGCGGCAGAACTCCCGATACCATCCACAACATCTGGATGATTGGCGGTCCACCACTGTGCGATTTAGAAGATGTTTTCTTCCTCGCACAACTTCCTTGTGGAATAGTTTACCACCAGCGATTTTTCCGGACCGATACGACTTAGGGACCTTCAAGAAAAGAGCCTACTGCAATTCCCCTGGTGTTGCGGTTGTTCATGGGCGGCGGTAGTCACTTACCATCAGGTGAGCCGCATGCTCGTTTGCCTCCTCTCCTATAAAAAAATGAAACTTGGTATAGACAGTAGATAGGTATTTTGGAATGACACATAGCTTTTTATCCCGGAAATAATATTATAAATGTGAAAGTTTGGAAATTTGGATGTTTCTTACTTAATCTCGCTAGAACAGCTGGACGGATATGGATTATTTTTTTATTCTGGAAAAAATCTACGGTTCCCGTGGGATAGAAAATAGTAGACCGCGGGGGCGAAGCCACTAGCGTTCGCTTGTTACACATAGAAAAGGCCTCCAACAATACAAACAAACGTGTGCACTAATTTTTGTACTGTGTGGGAATCGAACCGCAACCATCAGGCTTTTTAGTCCGCTCGTAGTACAAACCAATCGACCTTTGCGATCGACACCATTGGTTAAATGAATTGATATAATATAGAAACTTGCGAGCATGTAGGCACCCATTTAGTTAGACTAAAATTTGAACCTCTACTGGAGAGAGAAGCGAAAACAAGTGACGCAGAAGCCCCGATTCTATCCTACTTACATGTAAATTTAAATATTTTTTGAGGCCGTTTTTGGAGTACTTACATTTGATTGTAAATTAATTCCTTATGTTTTTTTATATTACACGTTTCGGTTAATTGGGTCATTTAAGGCTATTGAAAACATAAAAAGGTTTCGGATGGTTAAATTTATTAATGTAGTGTATCCTCATTCGGATCATTATCATTCATCATTACAGCCCTTCACAAGTCCACTGCTGAACATAGGCCTCCCCCAAAGAATGCCACAAAACACGGTCCTGAGCCACCTGCATCCATCGACTTCCTGCATGTCTTACCAGGTCGTCACTCCATCTCGTGGGGGGACGCCCTACACTTCGCCTGCCGGTACGAGGCTGCCACTCGAGAACCTTTCTTCCCCATCGGTTGTCGGTTCTTCGAGCTATATGGCCGGCCCACTGCCACTTCAGCTTACTAATCCGTTGGGCTATGTCGGTCACTCTGGTTCTACTGCGGATATCCTCATTCCTAAGTTTATCACGCAGAGAAACTCCGAGCATAGCCCTCTCCATAGCTCGCTGAGCGACCTTGAGCTTCCTCATACGGCCAGCAGTGAAGGACCACGTCTCAGTTCCGTAAGTCATCACTGGCAACACGCACTGGTTGTACAATTTCGTTTTAAGGTTTTGAGGTATGTCTGACGAGAAGATGTGTCGTAGCTTCCCGAACGCTGCCCAGCCGAGTTGAATCCGTCGATTGACCTCTCGGTCGAAGTTGGACTTACCCAGTCGGACTATTTGTCCCAGGTAAACATACTCGTCAACAACTTCGAGCTTAGTGTTCCCAACAACTATCGGCATAGGTGTGACATGGACATTAAACATGATCTTAGTTTTGTCCATGTTCATCTTAAGACCTATCCGTTGGGAAACACTATTGAGGTCATTGAGCATAGTGCTTAGGTCCTCCAGCGATTCTGCCATAAGGACTATATCGTCGGCAAATCGAAGGTGAGTGATGTACTCGCCATTGATGTTGATACCGTATCCTTTCCAGTCCAGAAGCTTGAAAACGTCTTCCAATGCAGCGGTGAAGAGTTTCGGGGATATGACGTCACCCTGTCTTACACCTCTCTGCAATTGGATAGGTTTCGTACTCTGGTTCTGTACTCGGATAGCCATCGTAGCCCTACTGTACAAGCACTTCAACACTTCGATATACCGACAGTCAACTTGGCACCGCTGAAGGGACTGCAGCACCGCCCAAATTTCGACGGAATCAAAGGCTTTCTCATAGTCCACATACGCCAGACATAGTGGCAAATTGTACTCTTCGGACTTCTGTACAACTTGCCGAAGGGTATGTATGTGGTCTATGGTGCTAAAGCCCTTTCGGAAACCGGCTTGTTCGGGAGGCTGGAAGTCGTCAAGTCTGCGCGCGAGACGATTCGTAATGACTCTCGAAAACAGCACGTAGACGCGGCTCAGAAGGGAAATCGGTCTGTAGTTCTTCAAGAGAGCGTTGTCACCTTTCTTGAAGAACAAGACCACCGCACTTCTGCTCCACGCCTCCGGTGTAATGCCACCATGGAGGACGGAATTAAAGAGCTTCTGAAGGACTTCAAGTACCGGTCTTCCACCCGCTTTCAGAAGCTCCGCTGTAATTCCATCCTCGCCTGGGGCCTTACCATTTTTAAGGTGCTGGAGAGCCATCCTAATCTCGCTCAGACTGACATCCGGAATATCTTCGGAATAGTGTCGGATGAGACTCGCTCTTGGATCGTTACTCACACTTGCGTGTGGCTCCAACGATGATGTGTACAGCTGCCCATAGAACCTCTCAATCTCACTCAAAATCTCAGGTGTCCCGGAAACGATGCTGCCACATTCTGTCTTCAGCTTTGACAGTTGGCTCTTTCTGGCAGACAGATCTCTGGCAAAGACTTTGGAGCCTTGGTTCCGCTCGATCGCTTCTTCAATACGAGCTGTATTGAAGTTGCGTAAGTCCCGCCGCATGCATTTGGAGATCTGTCTGTTCAGATGCCTGTATGCTGTCAAGTCTGTTGAAGAATGTAGCTTCATCTCCCGTCTAACAGCCATGAGATTAAGAGTGTGATCGGAGAGTTTTTGTGTTCTTCTGCGGCGGGTCTTGCAGAACTTAGCTCCAACCGCATGGACAGTTTCCACGAGCTTGTCATTCATATCGTCCACTTCATTGCAGTCTTCTAGGCACTGAAAACGGTTTTGTAACTCGAGCTGAAAGGTTTCGGGACTTCGAAACAGAGCACGAGGGGGACGGAGCGTTGACTTCATTAGACGAGACCTCTCCAACTTAACGTTTAGGTTCAGTGTGCCTCTAACCATTCGGTGATCGCTACCAGTTTTCACCCTCGCGATCACGGAGACATCACTGAACAGTTGTCGTCTGGTCGTCATAATGAAGTCAATCTCATTTTTTGTGGAACCGTCGGGGCTCGACCAGGTCCACTTCCTGTGGGGCCGCTTCTGGAAGAAAGAGTTCATCATAAAGAGTCCCTCTTTCTCCATGAAGTCGGCCAGCTGCTGGCCCCTTGGGTTCCGTTGCCCTATTCCAAATTTCCCTACTTTCAGCTCACCGTTCTCTCTTGTGCCTAGTTTTGCATTGAAGTCTCCCATTAACACCGTATATTGGGTTTTGGAGGAATGCATGGCTCTAGAGATATCCTCATACATTTCCTCCACCTCCTCATCGGGGTGTGCCGAGGTTGGTGCGTAAACCTGTATGACCTTCAGCGAATACCGTTTGGTGATTCTGAGTATAAGGTACGCAACCCTCGTCGACACACTCCCGATTTTTACAACGTTGTTAACGAGAGACTTGTGGACGATAAATCCGACACCTCCTTGGGACAGATGATCCCGGTGATAGAGCAAGTTGCCGGATTCGAGGATTACCGTGTCCTCCCCCTCTCTTCGGACTTCAGATAATCCTATAATATGCCAGCGCAACTTGTCTATCTCTTCTTCCAGCTCCACGATCTTCTCGTCAGTCCTCAGGGTGCGTGCGTTGTACGTTGCCAGGTCGAGTCGTCTAAGGTGGCAACCGAACCTCCACCGGAGATTCTTAGTACCCCCTGCCCCGCCGTTACCATGGTCGCCACCGTAGCCAGGAATAGCGGGGCCGCCGGGGACTGGGGGCCGTTTTTTTGTTGCTCTCATCATTGGGGGGTATTTGCCATAGTTGCCACGCTTGGCGAGCGGGTTGGCAACCGCAGTTTTTTTTATTGTCATTTGGCTATTATCAGGAAGATGCTGCTGCCCATCTCCTGGCTGTTTCCCTTTGTCGCCTTTTACGACACCTACGGGAGGATATGGGGTAGTGGATATTCTTGACCGCCACTACACGGCATTCGGATAAACAATTTTATTTAAAAAAAATGAGTGATGCATAAGCATGGCCGTCATTTGAATTCAAGTTTATGGTAACTTATATAACTATAACAGTAATTCACCATTATAGATATTATATTTTTCGAAAACTGCACTTAAGATTAGTTAATTAAGTACTAAAAACATACTCGCATGAACCGCATGTATTGTATAGCAGACTCAGTCAAGTGCGCTAGCACATGGTCGCGGCGCCCCCTGGCCCGCAAGGCTCCCACCATTGATCTGCACAAGTGCATTCGTTTCCCAACTGTAAGGTCTAAACTGTTTTCCTAGTTTGGAATGTTCTAGAAATATTAGACAGACAAGTTGATATTTAACAAAAACAAAGAAAAAATCTTCTTGCCTGCTCGCATTTGGCTAAAGGAGTTATGGAGAATTGACCGTAACTTATTGTGCAATGCACTAGGGCTACAGAGCCCGTCTAGTAGTATACATGGAAGTGTTTGGTAATAGCCATTGTGTGCGTGTGGTGGGCAGGCTGGGTCGCGCGGTGCGTGTGCGGCGGGCACGTTCGCAGTCTGCAAAACAGAGATCAAGTCTTCTCGGCCGCTCGCAGTCGACTAAAGGAGTTACGGAGAATTAACGTGATAGAAAACTTAGTTCGTAATGTGCTAAGGCCGCAGAGCTCGTTTAGTGGTATAGATGGATGTTTTGGGTGGTGCAGGGCGGGTGCGGGGGCTGGGGCGGCGGCGGGCGCTGGTGCCGGCTGGACGAGCGCTGGCTGGCGGCGCTGGGGCACGGCCGGCTGCGCCACTTCGCGGCCGACGGCACCACGCTGCTGGCGCTGCTCGAGGAGCCGCTGGCCAACAGCCAGGAGCCGCAGCCCACGCTCGTCGGTACGCTCGCACTCGCATATCTTACATACATATTAACTTTAATTTGACGCTACTCATTTTTATGCATTCATTCATACATTCCATTAATTTATTTATTCATTCATTTATTACTGTCTATCAAAACCACTGCTGAACATAGACCTTGCCATACCAATGTATGTGGAGGCGGCAGCGGGATATAAAACAGATAGGCAGCCAATTTTCCTGATAACTACTCAAAATATTAAAAAACTTTCAATTAAAAAATATCTCTAATATAGGAGGGCGACCCTGAAAGTTTTTAGAACTGGTCACATGTAAATGATATAAAAAAATAAGTTCAAATTTTGAAAATGGAACTCTATATCAATATTATTGCGTATGTATTTTATTAATTTGTCATTTGTTTACAATATGGCGGCAAATTGAAAATTGTCTGTGTCACGTCAACATGAAATTAACGCGAGAAAATTTTCGTACAATGATTTTTTATGACTTTCGATATCATGTAAGTCAACAAGAAAGTTATGATAGGTTTCGATTGGCCTTTCACGATGAAGCCACATCTCGTGCCACTGTTTACAACTAGTTTAATGATGGTCGCACTAATCTCACCGATGATCTGCGTGAGGGACGGCCTTCTACGGCGACGACTGAAGATAAAATCAGTGTTGTGTGGCGTATGATAGAGACTGACAAAAGAGTGATTTATCAGCAGATTCGGACAAGCATAGGCATCGGTATGAGTCAAGTGCACAAAATCCTCCATGAACATTTAGCGGTCAGGAAGCTTTGTGCCCGGTGGATACTTCATAATTTGACGGAGGCCGAAAAACTCCGTCGTGTTGATTGGTGTCGTAAAATGGTTCAAAGATTTAACGGAGGTGACTTAAATTCTGTGTTCGACATACTTACGGGTAACGAAAGCTGGATTTATTGTTATGATCCTGAAACTAAGAGACAGTCTGCTGTGTGGGTGTTTCCTTCCGAGAAGTTGCCAACTAAAGTGAAGAGAAGTCGAAGCCTGGGAAAAAAGATGGTGGCCTCGTTCTTCGGAAGGACAGGTCATTACGCAACAATTGTTGCCACTTGTCTTGGAAAAAGTTCGGGAGAAACGACCTCGCAGTAGGATCCTCCTTCACCTCGACAACGTTTTTTGTTGATTGTGAATGTAATTCTATATTTAACCACCCTTTTAGTTTTGTTGCAAATTTTTAGTGACAGTACAGCCAATTTAACCTTCATTATTTCGTTTCTGAAGTTAATATAACGATCTGAAAGTTTATTGGCAAAATTTAAGCCTTGGTTTTTTACCTCAGCACATCAGCGCGTGGCCCATTCTCATAGACTTTTTTCTACCAATTTATGCCGAACAAACGCAGGACGAAGGTCCTCTTTGTTACGTATGATATACTCGTACAATGAGAATTTTAATGACATATATCCGATGTCTACGATAGATGATCTCCATAAGGCTAAGCTCACACCGTTCTTGGCTACGATCCGGAAAAAGTAGAAACTGTATTAAGCCTTCCCTTTCCCAAAAACCTCAATCGTTTGCTCTTTATTATGCAGATATGCTCTTGGTACAGGTGTTTCATACCAAATTTCTCTTCAATAAATTAACCGTTGACCGGATTAACGAAAAAACTATTGTATTTGTCAGGAAGCCTAGGAAAATGCGCTCATCGAGCTTAAAGCTGCGTTTCCACCAGAGATGTGCGAGATAGCTGGGTGGTGCGACGATGCGTAGCGAGGCTGTGGAACGGTGTAAGCGTTTCCACCGGAGGTGTGCTAGGCCGCTGAGTGGTGCGAGGATGCGTAGCGTAATAGATAACACATACCTCGCACACCTCCCTCGAACATATCCCTCGCAACACATCACTCGCAACACATCCCTTGCAACACATCCTTCGCAACACATCTCTCGCAACACATCCCTCGCAACACATCCCTCGCAACACATCCCTCGCAACACATCTCTCGCAAGACATCCCTCGCTACACATCTTTCGCACAGATTCTTCCCTTGTTTTGTATGTACAAAAATCTCGCTCCGCTGAGCCGTTTCCACTAGAGCTGCGCTGAGCGAGGCTAGGTAAATGAAGTGATTCTATTGATTCTTAACAAACACATCCCTCGTTACGCATTGTCGCACATCTCTGGTGGAAACGCAGCCTAAAAGTTCCTAACTACCATTATTCCTAATTAACATTCTAAAACAAGCAAATATAAATGAGGCGTATATCTTAAAAAAAAACAGATGCCAGCAATTAAACATTAAGTGCGGTACTAGTACAGGGCAAGGGTCAGTCAGAACACTCCATACAACCATGGAGCACGAAACACTAGCCGTGGTCTGGGCACTGAACAAGTTTCGTGGTTACATTGAAGATGTCCATGTAACAGTGCTCACCGATCACTAGGCACTACACTAAACCCTGTAGAAAGAAAGAACGGGCATTTGTAAATAAAGCTGATAAACTTCTATTTGCAATGAATAAAAGCTTCAAGACATCCTACTCTCCGACCTATTTGACTTTTGGTCGAGAGCTCAGAACGCCCGACGATACGATTTTTTGGAGTCATGTAAATTAACACGACATCCGAAGCGCGGGGCTTGAGGACCGGGCGCATTGCGGCATGTTGGTCGCTCGTTTTCGGAGCGGCCGTCGCAGGCGCAGTGAGTCAGCTACTACGCCCGGCATCGCACAAGCGCTCACGCATCCTTTCAACCAATTTTTATACATTAGCTTAACGTCAACCGTTGTAACAGTTATGATTCTATTAATATATTTGTTTATGCCTAAATTTGGCCATGTTGAACGCCCTCCAATTGCGTTCGAGCTGTCGCGTCACCCGATAGTATGTAGGTGAAAAAACGCCGCCGGGTGGGGTGGCGGTGTGCGGCTGGTAGTGGCTCGACGCGTGGGCGAAAAGTGAGTTGCCCACTAGCCGCGACGAGGGCGTAGCTCGTGATTGCGGCGGAAGTTCGCGCGACCGTTGTCGGGTCCAGATAGTTAGATTAAGTGCGTGTTACTTCCTTACGTGGATATGTGAATTTTGCAATATTTAACTTGTTCGGGGATGCGGAATTGTGCACGCGCGCGTCGTGTAAATATACGGTCTAGGGTTCGAACCGCGCATTCCTTGTTCGAGAGCTTCTCCCGGTTGATCATCAGGAAATCATTATAATCGTGTCGTCGCGTTAAGTGCCCTTTTTTGTGTGTGTTGGCTTGTTAGTTTACGCGTCAACGAGGCGTATTTTGAATATTTTCACGACGTGGTTTTTGGTGTCGAATGAAGGAACTTAGTTGTGTTTAACTGAGTAGTATGACTCATTAAGAGATCGCTTTAATTCCCTCTTTATAATTTTGTGATAAGTGAATCCGGGACATTGAGTGTCGAATTGGAACTACTGTCCTACTGAGTCGGGTGTCACGTGTTCGATTCTGCGATGTGTGTAATTAGGCGAGTTTAAGTTAGTTAAATGTACAATGAAGCTAATAGATTGAAATAGTGACAAGGAAGAAAGAAATGGTCCAGCGGTGGAGCCTGCTGGATCGATGCAGCGTTTTGGGGCAGCCGGGAACTCGGCCGCTGCTGTTCGCCTAAGGAGGTCAAGGTCTCACACATTTACACATCACTAAACACTACTTGCCATGCACCTCACACCCACTTGAGGGTGTGAGGTGACCGAGCCTTGGGGCGATCTAAGAGTCGCAAACAGGTACGTAATATGTTTTCCTAGCATTCTCCCATATAGTTTAGTGTTATAGGAAATTCTTCCATGTGGTCATTTTGGGCCCGACCTGCGGCTGCTCGGGGAATTTTCTGCTCATGGGCTCCAGAGGATTCGTCCCTTGCTGGAGCAGCTATAGGCCGTAACAATATTATATACCAGCAGTGACTTACTGACTATTGCAGTGATAATCCGATGCGCGTGGGGTCGGTACGCGTGGTCGCTGAGCAGCCGTGGTGCGCCGCGATGTGCCACCCGTGGGGCGACCGCTTGCGCGCGCCCCGTGCCCATGCTGGAGCCGCCGGCGCGCGCGCCGCCCGCCTGCCTGCCGCTGCCCGCCGCGCCGCCCTGCGCCGTGTCGGTACTCGCTGCTCGCACCGTGCTACACTGCACTACACTACACTACACTACACTGCACTACACTACACACTACGTGCGCCCGTGCCCATGCTGGAGCCGCCACACTATACTGCATCATATTACTCTTTACTACACTACATACATACTACTATATACATATACTACACTGTAGTACTCTGTACTATACTACACTATATTACACTACGCTATATACTATACTACAGTGTACTTTACATTAATCTCTAGTACTACACACTGTGTTGTATACTCACACAATACCTCTACACAACGTGAGTGTCTCTACACAACAACTTTTTACTTGAAACGGAGTATTCCATCTTAGTCCTCACGGGTCAAAACGCATCTGCATTTTGATTTGTAATCCAAGATAGATGTAGATGGGCCTCAGCAACCACTTACCATCAGGTGGACTGTGTGCTCGTTTGTCACCTTTATCCTATAAAAAATACTACGAACTCACTTCATTTACCGGCAACTCACTAATGTAATACTAATGAGAAATTACTTTTAATTAGTATAATACAAAGTTAGGTTAGTTAAGGTTACGTAATGCTTTGTACAATAGGCTTTATTGCATTTGCTTTCGATGAAGTGGACTATTATAGACTACTATACTACTACTATTATATACTAACAGTGGTAGAGCCACGCGGCAGCTTTTGCTGTCTTACGGATGGGCCGGCTCGAACCGGGGTAGTACCACGACCTCACAGAAAACCAGCGTGAAGTAGAGGTTTACCTCTGCGTTTCGCTTGGTGAGTGCAGGTGGCCAGAGGCCCTTTTTACTAGAAATGAGGCATTCCATCTTAGTCCTCACGGGTGACAACGCATCTACATTTTGATTTGTAACAGAGGATAGATGTAGATGTCTATGTGCCGCAGCAACCACTTACCATCAGGTGGACTGTGTGCTCGTTTGTCACCCTTATCCTATAAAAAAAAATTAATCAATATTAAAAATGGTTTAAATCCTTTCCAAAGAGGAATACCAACAGTTTCACATCGGGACTCATTTAGTTTTGTATATTCATAAATGATATCTAAAGATATTTTAGCGTTTGTAACTCTCATCATTTACAAATAACGTAAAAAAAAATACAAGAGTATTACTTGATCTGACGCCTTACTAAGTGTAAAGCGGCAGTTCAAGGCAACTTGAGTTAATAATTGAATAATTTTGTACTTAAATTGACCCACTAAGGTACGTGGTTTTCAGTAATTCTTAGTGACTTATCACCTAATTCGATATAAAAATGTATTGAAAATTAACTTGTTTTTATTATGTGCTCTTTACAAAAATTTAGCATTTAAAATAGGTAAATTTATCTTTTACATCATTAGACACTTACACGAGTGTTATTTGATATATTTTATTTTTATGACAGGGATTCGGCGTTTCCAAGTTTGGAGGCTGTATTGCGGCAACTGAATGATCCAGATGCTCCAACTTTGTTCAAATTATTGGAACAACAGGCAGCTATTGAAAAACGTGTAAAAGAGAGCGAAGATAACGTTGTAAGCTATTTCTCTTTTTACACAAGCCAACAGTACATTAATTAGAAAAAAAAGTTTATCATATTAAGTTTAGTTAACACAGAATTATTATATGAATATATTCTTTGTTTTTACTTAGACACCCGAAGAATATGTACCACCGGAACCCGTGACTGAATTTCAAACTGCCAGACTTTTTCTCTCTCACTTCGGTTACCTGAACATCGGCGGTGATAAAAAGGTAACTTTATTTTACCTAAATATTAAATATTATTATAAATTTGAAACCTTGATTCTAAATTGATGGGGTATAATTTTTTGTAGACTTAAAATTTAGTTTTTATGGGTATGGTATAAATAAATAAAATGTACTTGTGATTATGTCGGATTGTATTTATTACGTATTTTAGAATAAGTAATATAGGCAAACGGTGAAGAAAAATTTATAAAAAAAAATTTAAACATTCTGTCATTTATATCTTTTAAATTCAAAATGCGTGGTAATGCATTATTTTAACTGATTGTCATTCATATTTTTTTTCTTTTTTAGAAAAACATTACCCCCGCACTAGGATTTTCTCCGGTATCGTGGAGGCAGTTTACAAACACAAATTGCACAAGGACAAACATTCAGACGCGGAACAATTATTTGTAGACCATATAAGTACTTGTTCCGTGCGGGATTTGAACCCGCGGCCCCCAACGCAGCAACTCATTGCTTCTATTTACCGTTACTACCTACGTACCGCTAAGTACCTACGTTCGCTCGTTATTACGTACACTTCGTTAGCAATGATGTAACGAAAATATTCGAACCGCGGATACAATTAAACTATGAAATGGAATATTACATTTTAAGCAATGAAAGTTTAAATTGTCCGCAAATATTATACGAAAGTGATTTTTACCGTGACAGAAATACGCTGCTCGTTCGCGCTCCGATTTGCTGTTATAAATTTAAATCTGTAAATATATATATATAAAATAAAATGGCGCTTTTGGCTTCAACGGCTTCGGGTTGCAGTGAATATTGTTAGAATAGAATAGGATATTTTTTATTCAATATACATTACATGTGTAATTATTATTGAAAGTAATTTTTTACTTTACCACTGGTTCGAAAAAAACCCTCTGTCCTGGGAAGAACCAGCAAGAAACCCAGCGGGACTTTTTTTTTTAAAATAAATTTTACAATATAAATGATTACGAACTATTTACAAAATTTATTTTAGAAACTGCTTGGAAGCGACCACCTCATTCCCAGGGGTTATTATCAACCATGTATTCATTTATACTATAATAACCCTTTTTATACAGTTTCAGCTTAATAAAACATTTAAACTTGGTAATAGAGAGAACCTGTACACTTTCCGGGACTTTGTTGTAATAGCGTATACATTGCCCCAAGAATGAATTACTGACTCTGTGGAGTCGAGAAACTGGCATCAATAGCTTGTGTTTGTTCTTAGTGTTTACAGAATGTATATCACTTTTTTTACTAAAACTATCTTTGGTTTTGTGAACATACATTAAATTTTCGTAAATATACTGAGAGGCCAAAGTTAATATATTAATTTCTTTAAATTTATCTCTAAGAGACTCTCTCGGTTTTAGATTGTAAATAGCTCTAATGGCCCTCTTCTGTAAAACAAAAATAGTTTCTGAATCAGCCGCATTTCCCCATAGCAAAATCCTATAAGATATTATGCTATGGAAATAACTAAAATAAACTAATCTAGCTGTCTCGACACTAGTGAGACCTCTAATCTTTTTTACAGCATAGGCTGCAGAACTTAGTCTGCTTGCTAATTTGGATATATGGGGGCCCACTGGAGCTTTGCGTCAAGAGTAATACCAAGAAAAACAGTGGATACAACAGGGCTCAATTCCTCCCCATTTAAAACACATTGGTATTTAGATTTTTAATTTAATTTAAAAGATTTTTAAAAATAACTTTCTGAATTCTATTACTTAAATATGAAATAATAAGTTTAAGCGCTGTGTTTTTGAACCCATAGTACTGTAGCTTCCTGATTAATGTCTCATGGTGAACACAGTCGAAGGCCTTGGAAAGGTCACAAAATATACCCAAAGCATCCTCTGAATTCTCCCATGTACAAAAAATATGTTTAATAAGCTCAATTCAGCGTTAGTTGTCGAGCGACCCCTTGTAAAACCGAATTGATTTTTATGTAGCAATTTATTAATATATAAGAAACTTAACATCTGATCTAAAATAATTTTTTCAAAAATTTTACTTAATGTTGGTAGTATAGAAATTGGTCTAAAATTGGCGGGGTCTAATGTACTACCAGATTTAAATATAGGTATGACTTTACTATGTTTCATTAAATGAGGAAACACACCAGATTCGACGCTTATATTAAATATAGTGGCTAGATAAGGTGCTAATATATATATATATATATATATATATTATAGATAAAATAACTTTAACGGAAATCCCCCATAAGTCTGCTGTTTTCTTAACATCAATAGTTTTAAAATATTTAACGATATCTTTTGGCAGTACTCTATGGAATTCAAAAGTATTTGAATAAGCCTTTACATTTTGTTTGAGCAATGATTCGGCTACATTAGGAGAAGAATTTAATGATTTTGTTGTCAAAAAAGGAACATCAGTAAAATGTTTCTCAAAAGCCATAGCAACTTCTTGATCAGATATGTCAATGTTGCATGAACGCGTAAGAGTTTGTGTGATACATTGTGTGCTGTTTTAGGTTGGGAGCGAGCGGGTGTTATCATCGTGTGTACTCGTAAAAATAGGAGGGGATGGTATTTTGTATGTATTAGCGGGGTGACGTGGTACAGCATAAGCGTGGGTGAAGCGGCGTGTCGTGCGTTGTTGCAGGGCGGGAGCGGACGGCTGTGCGCGCTGGAGGCGGGTGCGGCGGGCGGGGTGGGTGCGGGGGGCGCGGCGGGGCTGGGCGCGGCGCTGCGGCGGCTGGACGCGGCGGGCGCGCGCGCGGCGCTCACGGTGCACGTGGCGTACGCGCGCGCCGGCCAGCGCGCCGCGCACCACATCGTCGCCAACGCGCACGCGCGGGACCTCGCGCCCGCCTACATACACATGCTGCGCGGGTCACTCACCTTTTTATATTTAATTATTATTACGTTAGCTACATGGATTTTAGCCATGGTACGAGTGAATTATGTGACAGGGTATGTCGTCATGCATGAAAGTGAATTATTAATATTTCAAATATATTGCATGCCTTAATCGTAAAGCGCGTAAGTATGTTCTACTAACGCCTTAAAATCAAGATTCCAACGTTTTATCGCATAAAATCGTATCTAACAATCATATGAAACATATAAATTATATAAAAAGCACATTGTCAGAAAGATAAATGATTATTAACTTATTAGTATTTTTTTAAATCAATTAATTACTATTTTTACATAAAAAAGTGATTTTAGCGGCTAGTGGTATAGATTTATCAAGTCCGCATGAAATGGTAAACACGGTAACTTTTGAAAATATCAATTGTTTAACTCAATCTGTTTTTTAATCTCTTCATCTATCATATGGGAAACCATGGAATGTAAATGGCAGTTTAATTATAATTAATTTTGTACCAGCATTGTATTAATTTATTTTACTTAATATACTTTCTCCTGCCTAACTACGCGATCGGCCACCGTCATGAGTGGATCGCTGTAGAAATACAAAATATTCCAAAAACCAAATTTAATACATACTTGACCAAGGTTATTACTTTTTTATCACAAATTTTTATTATAATATTTTATCGCTAAAAGTACGTACTATTTATATATAAATACACTTACACGTTCGGCAAAGCAAAGTGTAGAGCGTTTCCCTACTAAATGGAGTGACGACCTGGTAAAGCATGCAGAAATTCAATGGATGCAGGTGGCTCGTGGCCGTGCTTTAGTGACATTCCTTGGGAGAGGCCTATGTTCAGCAGTGGACTTGTGGAGGGCTCTAATAATGATAAAATGATGATGATACATCTTGGACTTTATAGAGTAATCTTAAGGTGTACTTCGATGAATGCTACAGGGTGTCAAACGAGCACATCGTCGACCTGATGGTAAGTGGTTGCTGCAGAACATAGACATCTGCATCTATTCTCGATTACGAATCAAAATGCAGATGCGTTGTCACCCGTGAGGACTAAGATTTAATGTCTCATGTCCAGTAAAAAAGGCCTCTGGTTCTCTACACTCACCATACAAAATTACGAAACACAGCAGTGTTAAGCTGCTATTTTACGCTGGTATTCTGTGAGAGCGTGGTCCTTCCCCGGTAGAGCCGACCCATTCGTGCTACAACTATACTTACTACTAATATAGCTGCAGCATGGCTCTACCACGTAATACGTAATATTTTAATGCGCTTAAGGCATGCACAATTGGATTTACCAATAGTTTTGATTTATTAGTATACATACTTTATTACGAAGGCACCAACCATGAATTTAAAATTTATGTAATATTTAAAATTTTAAATATATATTTGAAAAAGTTTTCTACAATGTAACCTACATATAATAGATTGTATTAAAAAAGGAAATGCAATTAAAAATAATTAAATGAGAATATTTCAATGTAGAATGTATAAATACTATGTAGTCGTAACGTAAAATATCAAATATGTATTAAAAAGGAGACGGACCGTGTCTTAAGAGCCAAAAGACGGAAATTTAAACAAATAACCGGCCAAATTCGAATCGGACTCGTGTATGAAGGGTTCCGTACCATCATTATACATGTTTCTTAGTAGGGGAGCATCTTTTAATTTTTAATTTATTTTAATTTTTATTATTAGAAATACACATTCTGTGGAAATTTCAACTGTCTATCTATTACGGATTATGAGATACAGTCCGCTGACAGACGGACGGATGGGATGGTTTAGTAATAGGATTTCGTTAGTTACCCTTTGGGTACGGAACTCTAAAAAGGGGTAGCTACATAATCCTGATAATAGCTGAAATTTTTATAAAAAATTGTGATAGCTACGTGACAACAATGACGAAATCCTTGCCTATAAGGGAATCTGGGAATATTTGTATTTTATAGTACACTTGTAATAAGCTGTATTGAATGATTTAATTAGAGAGGATTAGATTTATATACGAAAGATTTTTATATTAAAGTGAAGGAATAAAAAATTAATATCTATTTAAAATAAATATATTTTTAGTTCAAGAATTTATGATATGGACTAGGATATAAAGTTTATAAGCGGAGTGGAGGTTGTAGAGTCAGACGTTTCATACCGTTTATGTAGATATTTTATGTAAATTACAGGATAGGATTATATTGTCATTTATCGAAAGCCATAATATTTTTAATTTGTAATTATTAATCTTTTTTGATACTTATGAAATATTAATAAATGGGCAAAATTTTACTTGATATGTAATATGGTAATTTTAGATCAATAAAGATAGACGGAGCGTTGTGTATATTTCAAGAGGTGTTAAAATTATGCTCGATTTCTTGACAAACGTTTACATAATATATCTTCTTTTATAAGTCGATTGCGGGGTATACATATTGACCAAAAACTTTGTTAGTTGCAATGGATTTAGATTTACGTGTGCGTGAGTGTGATGCATTTTAGAAATTGTGTACAGGAATTGTATAATTTAATTCTTTCCTCTCTTCCACTATTGGACAATTAGACGTTCAAACAGTCTCCACTTTTTCGTTGTTGATTTATTACGCATTTGAACCAAGTGGTTTGCTATATCGTTCGTGATGCGTACAGCAAAAGAGTGGAATAAATTACCAGTATTTGTGTTTTCATCCGATTACAATGTGGATATGTCTTTAAGGCGAGAGTGAATAGGCTTTTCATCACTTATCATCAGGTGGGATTGTAGTTAAGCGCTGACTTAGTATAATAAAAAAATACATTAAGTTATCAACCACTTGAAATTTGGAGCGTACATGTATGTCTGTAAGTGTAAGGCGACAAGAGGTTGTGAGGTATCAATGTATCTAGCGCTTGAAACTTGCAGCGGTCCGTTTGTTTGTTAGTGTGCGGCGACAAAAGGATGTAAGGTCAATGTAAGTAATACGCGAGAGTGCGTGCGTTGCGCAGGCTGGGGCGGGCCGTGCGCGTGCGCGGGCACGCGGGCTGGGCGGGGCGCGCGCGCGCCAGCTACGACGCGCAGCACGAGCACGAGCACGAACACGAGCACCGCGCACCGCCGCCGGACGAACGCACGCCCGCCATCTACGACGGACGCGAACAGGTCACTTGCACTTCATTTCACCCCGACGCACACACGCACACACACACACACACACACACAAATCGTAATCTTATCATTTCACCAGCTTTTACACAACTAGCTCAATATGATAATATTTTTCAAATATATGTAGGTATCTATATTTATTTCTTTAGCACACTCTATACCATAAATAGCCCGATAGATTTGTGTTAAACTCGTCTATTTTTTATATACAGGATTATTTTTCAAAGCGTAACCAAATTTTTAACTTAAGTTCAAAGAATATATAAATGATAATATACTGTCATTTCAGTTTTTGAAAATACAAGTAAATAAGACTTCTACTTTTAATTGAAATTATCTCAAATTGAATATCATTTATGGGCAACAACTACGCGTACTCCTCTGTGTGCAATTCAATTTTTTAAAGTGGTAGAGCCACGCGGCAGCTTTTGCTGTCGTACAGATGGACCAGCTCAAACCGGGATGGTACCACAACCTCACAGAATACCAGCGTGAAGTAAAGATTTAGCTCTGCATTTCGCTTGGTGAATGCAGGTGGCCGGAGGCCCTTTTTACTGGAAATGAGGCATTCCATCTTAGTCCTCACGGGAGAAAACGCATCTGAATTTAGAATCGCAAAAGAGGATATTTGTAGATGTCTATGGGCCGCAGCAACCACTTACCATCAGGTGAACTGTGTGTTCGTTTGTCACCCTTATCCTATAAAAAAAAATTCACAACGTTTTTGCCGACCGATCGACCCTTACATACATAGTAAAATAATAGGTGTTAGATATTTATAAATGACAATCAGTTAAAATAATGCATTATCACACATTTTTAATATAAAGGATAAAAAGCACAAAATGTTTGAGATTTTTTAAATTAATTTTTCTTCACCATTTACCTGTGTTACTTATTCTGAACCTTCTCTGCAAATTTGGCCGATTATTGCAAAATAACCCTATATAATAAGTTCCACCCAATAACAAGTGAATATTGTAGCCCATAAATACATACATCTGTCCTAAACTAAAAATAAAAAATCAAATTAATGGGGACAATGGGAATAGAGACTAAAGACAAATATAAAAGGTCTCCGCCTCCGCCTCAGTACACAGTAGCATTTTTCTGATATATCACACTGATATTCCATGCTAGCGCGGTCCTACCCCAAATGAGTCGACCCAATTATCCTGCAGTAATAACTTACTTGAAGTATTTACATATTTATATAATTTTTTCCCCTCTTTAATCTCCACACTTAGCAAACGAATTGTCAATTACAATACGTTATACCTCCCACCTTTAATTTCCCCCGTCATCAATCTTATTATTATAAAGCTAGCTTCAACCAATTGGTGCTATCACAGTCCCCGAGTAGCATAACATTTTTCTGCATTTACCATAATCACCTCTTACGACACCCACAGGAGATGAGGTGCAAAATTCTATGTCACCACTTAATAACACAAACCACAAAATTTGTTACTAAATAAAATTTGAAATAAAAGTAAAAAAAGAAACACCGGCTACTAAGACAGGTCCGCGGCTAATTTCGTGAATCCGTATTATAAAATAATATTAAAAAATTATGCCATAATAATACTATAAAGGTTCGACCTGGGGTATATCTTTGGACATAATATTTTATTATTTACAAATGAATAAGTTACATGCAGGTTAATAAATCCCGCAATTTTGCATAAAATTGTTATTAATTTAATTTTTAATAATTGGTACTTGTACAGGTATTATATTGGTCTGATTCAACGGATGAGATAGCATTCATTGTGCCTTCTGGGTACGAGATCGCTGACACCGAGGACAGACTAAGCCAGAGCGACAGTCTCAAGTCTTACGTTGATGGGCCCTGCCTCTCCACATGGTAATTATTATAACTATGCATTTAAGAAATACCGTAGATTTTGTCAATATTTTATTCGTGTATTACGTTGATTTTTTGATTACCTTATAATTAATTACTATAAGAAATTCAATTTAATAGTGTACATATATGTCTAATCAGATGGATATGCTGTACAATCTTGACTGACTAAAATAATGAGATTCAAGCTTAATAACAACATTAAAAAATATATTTGATTATGTTTACTGTAAATTAATTCTTTGTTTCAAACACAGTTAAATGAAATTCTAGCAAACTATTTCTTATTTATATAAAAATATAATCCTCCGTATTAAATAAAAATACAGTTGTAATTTTAAATTCAACATTTTGCAATTTTTAATATACGGGGCAATTTTTAGGTATTGTCATTTATTTTGCTACCTACCTTTTTACATCGCAAAGAAAATAAAAAAATGAGATGATTTTATTAGAACTTTGGAATATATTTTAAGCACAGCTTGTCAATTATTTGGCAATAAATTGAATTTTAAATTTCTATTACATTGTATCTATTGTCTTAGGGCATATCTAATAAAATAATTAAATGTGAAATTAAAATCGTGACATTCTGCTTCTTCTTATACGGTGTAATAGATATAGTCATCCTTATGTGATGTAATTGCTAAAGGGGTTTTAGCAGAAATTTCATTACCGGCGGATTGCTGCTTCTTTAATATTGTTTGGATATTATTTTGAAGTGAATTTTGATACAAATTGTAGCACTGGCTACAAGGCCTTCGGTCAATAATATTACGTCGAATACTTTAGCCATCGATGACAATAGTATGTCAAGTTCTCTAGGCACTTAAATGAACAAAACAGCATAGGTTTTTATCACTTGCATATGCGTAAATATTTAATGCACAAAATTGCACCATTTTTATGCATCGAAATGCATTTCAAACCAACATAAATACAGGAGCAGTAATCCATCGGCGGTTAAGCTCCCGCCAAAACCCAGATACAATAATAGTGTATGTTTGTAAGCAGCTCAAAGGGTCCGGAGAGGGGGGGCGAGAGCGTACCAGCAGGTGGTGTGGGCGGGCAGTACTTGCGCAGCTGCAGCGAGTCGGAACATGGCGAAGTACGTGCTCCGCTTGCAGACAGTGCGCGCACGCTCTCACTAGATCTCGACAAGCAGCCCGACAAGATACAAGATAAGCAGCACGCACTCACAGGTACAAACTAACAAACATACACGCACACACCCACATACTAACTAACATACACGTACACACCCACGAACTATCGAACATACACGCACACACCCACGAACTAAAGAACATGCACGCACACACACACGAACTAACGAACATACACGCACACACCGACGAACTAACGAACATACACGCACACTCCCACGAACTAACGAACATACACGCACACACCTCCGAACTAACGAACATTTCGTTCGTTAGTTTGTACACACATGCACAAACTAACGAACACACACGCACACACGCACGAAATAACTAACATAAACGCACACACCCACGATCTAACGAACATACACACACACACAACCACGAACTAACGAACATACACGCACTCACCCACTAACTAACTAACATACACGCACGCACCCACGAACTAACGAACATACACGCACACCCACGAACTAACGAACATACACGCACACACCCAGTAACTAACGAACATACACGCATATACCCACGAACTAACTAACATACTCGTACACACCCACGAACTAACGAACATACACGCATAGCACACGCACTCACGCACGTAACTTAAATAATTTGCATACAACACGGTTTTGGGTTGTATGTACATCCAACGGTTGACTTTAGTGGAGACATAAAATTCTACAGATGTACTTCTCTAGAATTTTAATTCAAATTAAAAAAAATTGCAGGTAGTGGAAGAAGGAATAGAGACTTCACTCCAAAAATTCTCATTATATGGTTGGAAGATTTCGAAGATCATCTGAATTTACCAATCGGTGAGTATTATTCAAAAATATAACATATTCTGCGTTATACTTACTAAAAGCTTTAACTATATGATCAGAAATATCGACGATTTATTTGTAGCTGAAAGAATTCTCATTGTTTTCATTTTTACTTATCATCATCATTGCAGACCTTAACAAGTCCACTGCTGAACATAGTCCTCCCCCAAGGAATGATTCAAAGCACGACTAGCCTTTTGGTCGCAGTTGGAATTACAAGCTTTACTTTTAAAATTACTAATATGATTTTAAAAGCTTTTATGATTAAATCGTTTACAACACTGTTGACTTAAAACTCAATAATTTTGTAAGTTGTAAATTACTGATTTACAAAATTTTAAGTTTTTCATACATTAACAAGTTAAATAGTAATCAGTGAGGTAAAGTTCATCCTCAATTTCTCTTAAGACTGGAGTGCTTGAAGGACGTGTGATAGGGCCTGTCATCATCATCATTACAGCACTAGGCCTTCAGAACCTGTCACTTAAATAATATATTAATTATATGTAAATATTTAAATATAAGTAAATTTTTAACATTGAAGTATAATGTTCCAAACAAAACAGATAAACGAAAACGGCAGAATTATGGGGGATTTCCGTGTAAGTTATTTTATCAAGTATAGTGTATATATTATACAAGCGTCGAATCTGGTGTGTTTTAAAGAAACATAGTAAAGCCATACCTTTATTTAAATATGGTAGTACATTAGACCCCGCCAAATTTAGACCAATTTCTGTACTACCAACATTTAGTAAAATTTTTGAAAAAATAATTTTAGATCAGATGTTAAGTTTCTTTAATACTAATAAATTGCTTCATAAAAAAAACAATTCGATTTTACAAGAGGTCGCTCGACAACTGACGCTGGACGCTTTGGGTATATTTTGTGACCTTTCCAAGTCCTTCGACTGTGTTCACCATGAGACATTAATCAGGAAGCTACAGTACTATGGTTTCAAGAACACAGCGCTTAAACTTATTATTTCATATTTAAGTAATAGAATTCAGAAAGTTATTATCAATGATAAAAGTTCTTCCGGGTCACCTGTACTAATGGGTGTCCCTCAGGGCTCAATTTTTGGCCCATTTCTATTTCTAGTGTATATTAATGACTTACCTTCCGTAGTAGAGGATAACCATGATATAGTATTATTTGCTGATGATACTTCCTTGATTTTTAAACTTAAACGTCAATCATTTAAATGTGAAGAAGTGAATAATGCTATATCAAAATTAGTGCATTGGTTTAACGTTAATAATCTGCATTTGAACGGAAATAAAACTAATTGTGTTAAATTTACAACAACGAATGTTAAAAATCTGAATACCAATGTATTTTTAAATGGGAAGGAATTGAGCCCTGTTGTATCCACTGTTTTTCTTGGCATCACTCTTGAAGCAAAGCTCCAGTGGAGCCCCCATATATCCAAATTAAGTGTGAAGAAGTGAATAATGCTATATCAAAATTATTGCATTGGTTTAATGTTAATAATCTACATTTAAACGGCAATAAAACTAAATGTATTAAATTTACAACAACGAATGTTAAAAACTTGAATACCAATGTGTTTTTAAATGGGGAAGAACTGAGTCCTGTTGAATCCTCTCTTTTTCTTGGCATCACTCTCGACGCGATGGGGCCCCCATATATTCAAACTAGCAAGCAGACTAAGCTCTCCAGCTTATGCTGTAAAAGAGATTAGAGATCTCCATAGTGTCGAGACTGCTAAATTAGTTTATTTCAGTTATTTCCATAGCATAATAATGTCTTATGGGATTTTGCTGTGGGGAAATGCGGCTGATTCAGAAACTATTTTTGTTTTACAGAAGAGGTCCATTAGAGCTATTTACAACCTAAAACCGTGAGTCTCTCAGATAAATTTAAAGAAATTAATGTTTTACTAAGTTGAAACTGTATCAAAAGGGTTATCATAATATATTTTTTTTTCTTTAAAAAAATACAAATAACCCTGTATACATTGACTTATATATAACTAGGCTAAGGACCGTGCAAACCGCGCAACTAAATAGCACAATGCACAAATGGCAACGCGACTTTAGTTTACGCCAGGGTTGTATTCAGACCCTCAAAAATATTGTACATCGAAAATAAAATTATACTTACTGTTACGGCCTACGGCTGCTCCCTTAAAGGGTCAAATCCTCCGGGGCCCATGAGCAGAAGACTTCCCGAGCAGACGTAGGTCGGGCCTCAATGTGGCCACGTTGAATTTCTCTAATTACACTAAATTATATGGGGGAGCGTTCTATACTACGGCCAGTCGACCGGCAGAGGAATTAGGCGGAGCTTACTTACCTATATCCAAGGCGACTGGTCCCTCCGGAGTCGGTCAGGTCACATGTGGTTGTGTAGTGAAAGGGAAATCAGGCGATGTGATGTGTATCTGGGTGTGACTAATGGTGATTGAACCTAGACCTTGGCCGTCGGCAGCAGCCCGAGCGTCGACACCGCTCCAACTTGAGGGGCCTTCCGAGGCGTTGTCCATAGTCACTTTCCTCGTTCGTCACGATGACAGTCAATTCAGTCTATCTTACGATTAACTAACTTACAGAAGCCACTAACTATCGCTGGGTATAAGGTTAACGCACAAAACGCACACGGAGTTTACGGATCAAAGGTCACTACCGTTTCGCGTAGCAACAGTTAGTTCTAGAATATTAACGGCCGCACTAGCTAATATTGCCGAATGCACCTATGCAGATTCTGAGTCGGACACAATGAGTCCCTGGGAAGCTCTCCAGCAGGAATGCGCGTCACAAAATCCTAGACCGTATATTTACGGGCTGCACCTAATTATTCCGAGTTCCCTAACAAAAATTGACAGCGTGCAGACATTAGCACAGCTAGCAGACGACTCCTTCGCCTTTACGCGTTCTCAGGCCACCGCTCGGCTGACGTCAAAAACCGGTGTGGCCCAGAACCGCGCGCCCCCTAGACGTCGATTCCGACAACAGCGTTTGGCGTACAAACCCCCGTCCCGGACATAGGATTTAGGTCCGCGAGCAAACCGTTCAGCGGGACAAGGTCGAGACTGCAAGTTGCAAGACCGAATCTACAACCAAACTAGGCCTAAGGTGGCAACCCATCAGATCTTGCAACCCTAACCAACGCCTCAAAATTACCGCCCCAACGTGGGCAAGCCGGAGGGTTGAACTGGATGCCCTTCCTGGACATCGCAGCCCATAAATAAGTCCTATTCTGGACAGAAGTCCGACGACCTCTTTCAAACACATATCTGTGCCCCTACGATTAGTTCTGCAATCCGACCGGATCGGGTCTGCAAACAGCAACGCGACACGAAGTGGCCCAGAGCGGCCTCCTAAGCTTCAGTGCAGAGAGCGCCCACAAATTCTACATGAACGTCGTCTGTGGAGAGCCGAACGAAACGCACAGATAGTCCCTAGTATGAATTTTCAACAAGTAGGCCTAGCCAGGCCAACCACCATATTATCATTTACTAAAATAGTGCGGCAGCGGATTTCAATCTGATAATCTCCAAAACTAGCTAGCCTGTTAAACAAGCAGTCCTATGCTCATATTTCAACTAATTTTTCAAAGCATCAATGTTCAACTACAGTCTCGCTGAAGGTGTCCTCCCAAACATGAGCAGCACCAGCGGCGCTCCTTGGCGAAAGTTCGCCTCGCCGGAACCGGCTTACCTAAAAATTTCGGGCACGACGTTACCCGGTGGGTAGATGCTCGACAATAGGAGCAGGGGGGGGTTGACGACGACTTGCATGGCGGATTCAGCCTTTCACTGGGCACGGCTCGTAAGTCGTCAACGGTGCCCGTCGCGTTCTCGATATGCCGGCACTGCTCCTCCAAAAACGGCAGCAGGTCATAGAAGGGCGAAATATAGGAGGCCTCGTCCCCGCCGTACCGCTCCTCAAAATGGATTCGAAGGTCGAGAGGTAGACGGGACATTACGATGCGGAGCAACAAAAAAGCCCATTCACCCACTGGTAAATCCAGCCGCCTCAACGTATTACAGGCCACCAGGACTGGATCCAACAGGTCCGGACGGCTAGGAGGTCCCGAGCAGTCTGGTAGGCGTCGTCTGACAATCTCAAGTGGCCGACGACGCCCAGGGCCTCCCCCTCCAGTAAGGCCAGGAGGTACGCCATCTTTTGGCTCGGGGTCAAGTCACTCCGGGCGTCCACTAGGCTGTCGAAAAGACCAACGAAGGTCAGCCATTCGGAAAGGACCCCGGAGAACTTTGGCAGGTCCAGAGTTGGGAGTCGTCCCAACAGCTCCGGCTGAAGCTGCTTCCGAGAGGACTCGGGCAGGCCACTCATCCGAGTTTTACGCGCCTCCTCAGCATACCTGCCTTCAGCCTCGATCAACTCGATCGTGAGCGAAAAGAACTGCTCATAGTCCGCGAAGCGGGAGTCCAGGACTCCCTTCTCCACATCCGAATCCTCGAGCTCAGCGTAAGCCTGCTCCACTGCGGCCCTTCGAGCATCCACCTGCTCGAACCGCTTAATCAAGTTATGGACCCTATCCGGTCGACCTAACAAAGCATGGGCGCTGGTGGCCCAGCGTAGCTCAGTCCGCAGGCAACGGATTAGAAGCTTGGGCGATGACATCACTACTAAATACAAATTACGACGTGGCTCGAGCACAAATTACAAAGATAACAAATAAAAAATACAACAAAAAATTAACAGTTAATAAATGCAGTTCCTATCAAATCGCGTTGAATAGAAATTACACAAATACGAATTACTACGTATCAACCAAACACAAGTTAGCACAAAAGAAAAGACACAAATCAAATTAACAAATAACATATACTAGTGCGATCAAATCAAGTTAAATTCAAATTGCGCAAATACAATTACTACTCTTTAGTTCAAATACAAATTACAATACAAACGAAGATACACATCACGGTCGATCAACAAAAAATGCCTAGCTCGGAAATCGACCCTTCGATAAATAATCCACTACAACTATCCGACAACGA